CGCAGAAAATCCCGCCAAATGGTCGACGGACCGATATCCGGAGGTTGGCGACCGCTGCTATAGGGAACCAAAGGTTAAGGTGTTCACTGTCATCCCTGCTTGGTTTCTTGCATGTTTTGAATGTCTTCCTGGTTTAACATAGCAAAATTAATTCAATGGTTTACTACCAAGACTCTGCAGAACTGAGTGGCATGTTGACTTGCAACATTTTATGTCAACCTGTCTGATGTTTTTAAACAGAGAATGTTGGAAACCAAGGAAGAACCAGTGCTGCTCCATTAAAGAAACGTCCACTATAAACATTTTTTCGTCAACGGAATCTTACTGAAACAGGTTGGTGAAAAACAGAAAGTCACACAGGGCTGTTTCACCAATGTGCCAACATATTTATTACAGAATGTGAATTGCTCTTTTCTCTACATGTTGTGTTATTTGTCACAGTGTTTCCCACTAATTTCCCTGTGTAGTGATTATGTTCAATGAAATTATTTGGGCTTCTGTTACGGCTAATTATGAACACTTTGGAGCTGTGAGTGGAAACTCCAGAGAGCTGCAAATTAGCTGCCTTTTGTATCGTTTCTACTTCCCAGATATCTACAGCCAAATCTGAGCTGTTATGACCGGAGCGTTGTTGCTCCTGAGTTCATTAAACAAATTAACTTCCTAATGAGCTTCTGGATTCATGCACACTTTTAAATGGTTGTTTTCAATTCTCAGCCGGTACTCAGGAGTCCAAACACTGCGTATCTTCAACGGGGGAGAGAAACACTGTGACTCAACTAGGTTTCCTTCAACAAATAACAAATAACCGTCTGTTTAATCAAACTGCACAGGAACATCCCCTTTCACAAATGAATCCTTTCTACTTGGGGTGGTCAAACGGGTTGTTCCGAAACAGGTACTCCGCCTGGAATGAAGCACACCAAAAAGCATTATGTAGCATAAATGCTTTACTGACTTTCATGTTGTACTATTTTTGCATATAAAAAACTCGACTGATAGCTAGCTTATACATGCTCCATCTCTTTGATGCTTTACATTTTTTAATGTCACATTGTCCTTGGTTGCAGCAAATGTCTACTATTGATTAGTTGACTAAACCTTTTCATAAACTCTGGGCAGAGGTGAAAGTACAGTGAGAAAATTGGTCCAAAGACTGATCCACAGAAAAGGCTCGTTATTAACTTTGATGCTTTAAATCTTAGAGATTTGAAGCTTTCGATTCCTCCTCAAATAAAATGTAGCTTAAAATCTGATTATGAACCCATTTATCCCTTATTTTTTGGTAGAGATGGAGAAAAAAATTACTGATTATCATGAGGTATGAATGTTCCTACCATCTTAAGTAAAATGCTTTTCTAAAACGATTCTTTGAAACAGCTGAAATTCACTGATATTCAGAAAAGTAACGGACTATAAGCTGGGCAGTACCAGGAAGTCCAGGGGATCGGGTGGATTAGCCCTGTAGCACTCAGCTAGACCTTGACTCAGTGTTGGCATTACATGCTCCATCAGATAGCTTCTCATTTGAACAGTAAGGCCCTCCAGGTGCCGCTCCTCCTCCAGCTTCACCTGCTCAGATCTATGAGTCTGAAAGGCAAACATCGGACCTGAGACTCTAAGGCTTTCTGGATGCTGGCGGTAGCACATGCCCACTTAACTCCACCTACCCACTCCTCCCAGTTTGCAGCCCTGCTCCTGGCCTCTTCCTCCTCCCTCTGTTCCTCCTCAGCCCTTTTCTCTGCCTCTTTCCTCATCTTCTCCTCTGCCTCCTCTAACCCCCGACAGGTGGGTGCGTATGTCCTAGGAGAGCCAACTGTGCTGAAAATCGTCTGCATCAGCAATGAAATGGCAGGTTCTTCACCACTGGTGATCTCTGAAACACAGGGAAGGAACTTAACAGAATGATGCAGAGTGCTTCCATCAGTTACCTACACAGGATGTTGTCCCCCATCAGATTACCTAGGTGCACATGCCTAACATTCAGCTCCTCAAAAAAGTTAAGAACGGTTTTGTCCTCTTGGTTGTTTTTTCTGTATATACTAAGTCGTCTCAGGAACTGCTCAGACTCGTAGTTGAGCTCTTGGACCACTTCCTTAGGGAGGTTGATCACTCGGTCTGTCAGGAAGGAGTCAGAAGCGTCGAGACACAACAGGAACTCTGCAGCCAAAAGAAGGAGCTCCAGGTTAATCCAGATACCTTTAAAGGAAACTAATGATGATGGAGCAAATGTACCTGGCAGGATACTTGTTGATGAAGAAAATGTATTCAGGTCGTCTGAAAATGAAGAAATAAAATGAAATAAAAAAATATATATATTTTTTAGTATGTTACAGTTATAAACTTTGAGATAATTTAGTGACCTTTAATCTCAGAAAAAAAAAAAAATTCTAACCAATTAAATCCATACATATTTAGTAGTGTTGCATTGATGCCGATCCAGCACTAAAATGGTGGTATCAGTATCGGTGAATACCGACAAATAGGGCACCAATACCATTTTGAGAGTTAAAAGTTTATTCAACTATTGTCACCAATTCCAGATGAGCAACAAAAAGTTCTACTGGATTCACTTTGTATTACCGGTAGTCTTTTTCCTGCTTCACAAAGGTAGGCAGCAGCTTGACAAAGCCATGATGGTAAATATTTTACATCCAAGTCGTATGCAGTTCTTCATCTACACACACACACACATATCAATTTCAAACAGATGGTATCGGTATCAGCCAATACTGCAATGCCAGGTATCGGGTATTGGTATCCGGGCCAAAAAATAGCATCGTTTACCACTATCCTGAACACCAGTAGGACCAAGGAGGTGGTAGTGTGCCATAGAAGGTCCAAGAAAGATAACCACTCTCCTCGGCATACATAATTGACAATGTGACCAAGGCCAAAGAACAGCTTTTGTTTCTCAGGAAGTTAAAATCTCTATTCTGCTGCTCACAAAGCTTTGCAGGCACACAGCTGCAAGCATTCTGTGTCTCACTGTGAAAAAGTGGTATGTGAGCTGCACGGCACTGAAGAGGAGGGACACACTGCAAAATTATCTAGAAATAAGTAAAAATGTCTTAAATTAAGTGCATTTACCCTTAATTTCAATATTGTTACTCTTAATTAAGACAATTAGATAATATGCACTTGAAATTAGACAATGCTATTGTTTTTTTCTTATTTGAATTGTAAATTGTTGTATTCCGTTGCCAAAAGTTTTACTTAATTCAAGAAAAACTGCACTTATTTAAAAAAAAAAAAATACTTGTTTAGATTTCATTATTTTGCATTGCATTGCCTCGGTGCTGGGGACAGTATAAGAGCTTGTGGGATGCCATGAAACAGATCTAGACTCAGTTTTTGCAATGCGTTTAGAAAAGGTACAGAGGCATTGCCACCGATTCCACCTATCTGTACTCTGCACCATTTTTCCAACTTCAATTAGGAAAAGAATTCAAGAACATTAAATCCAAAAAGAGTTAGACTCAGGAACATTTTATTCCCTAAATCCTCCTGAAGTCAGACACTGACATCCCATCTCACCTTCACACTGACACACATACAACTTTTCTTCTGAAGGTTGATGGAGGGATTTTCACTAATATTTATGATGCGTAACCACAGCAACCATAGCAAGTAAATTTTTTTACACCAGGGAGAAGCTTTTTAACATATCTAAAGCGGAAATAATATACTTCAACTACTTCCAAAAGTACCAGCTGAATTGAAAAGGAGGCGCCGGGGATGCAGAGCAGGAGTAAGGAGAGGAGAGAGGAAGAACAAAGTTAAACCATCTCTTCCATCAATCATTGTGAGATCTTAAGAAAACAAGTTACAACTCAAGCCCTAGCAAGTTAACAGGCATAATATCAGCTATGCAGCGTTACGTGTTTTACTGAAACATGGCTGCAGAATCATATCTCAGACTCAACCATCTCTCTGCCAGGCTTTCTGACCATACGAGCAGACAGATATTTAAAGAAGACTGGGAAACTCCTCTAGAACCTCTGGATACTTTCACAAAGAAAACATCATGAAGGCCAAGGAAGCCAGCAGATAGATCAGAAGTTGTAAAGGAGTCTTAACATCCACCTCATTTTGGGAAATTCTTACATATTTTGCATAACCAAATGGAAAAGCAAATATCTTAGGAACTGTAAGCCTTTATTACATGTGTATAAAATAATTTGAAAGCCAACACCTTCTAGTTTCTGAACATATAAATGAAAATTGGGTAAGTAAAACACAGTCCAAGCTGCATCAGTTCAAACATGACTCAAAGTTGGGGGTTTTTTAATCCCCAAAAAAAAAAGGTCTTTTTTGAACAACAGTAATATAAACATGCATGAGAATAGGCATGTCTCAATGATGTACATTTGTTCTACATCATGTCAACCACAAAAGCAGGAATTTTAGAACTCTAGCTACAACAGTTCCAGAGCTGTGGAGCTTTGAACTTTTGGTGTCACCAGCGTCTCCAAATCTCTCCAAATGTACCAAATGATGCAAAATTGTGCCAAAAGCTATTACTCAACTATTTGACCTATAGAATAACACTGAAGCATTTTGACAGCCACAAAGCATTTATGAAGCAAGTATTTTCCACTTCTTTTTCAAAATCAGTCTATATAACAAAATGTAACATTTATAAACATACAATAAAATAAAAATCTATAAAATAAAATAGTGAAACTGCAGCTTTTTAAGCTAAAATAAGCCGCAGTGCCTTTTCTGAGCTGTATTTTGTTTGTTTTTTTCAGCCTTAGGCATTGTAATAAAGCAAGATCAGCGTCCAAACTTCAGAAAAACAGGACTGCTGTTATTATTCAGCTCCGACCTGTTCACATTGATTCACTCTCAACTGTGTGTTTCACTCTCACGCAAGCTTGCAACATGGCTGTACTTTATATAACCAGCCAAAACATTGAAACATTTATTCAGCATTTTTTTTACTCTAGAAAGTTATATGTTGAAACTAATAATGAAGCCAGAAAACATAAAAACAGCTGGGAAGTTCTCAAATGTTTTTTTAAGAGACTGATTTAGAGCAGACTCGTTTCTATTTTTCTGTTCATAAATCCTCTAAAGGTGTAAAATCTGTAAAATAGGATTTGAAAAGAATGTAACTTTTACGGTCTCAGAGGAAATTGAAAAAAACAAAATCAGAAACGTATTTATATAAATCCCATTTGACAATAGAATCTGCTAAAACAATCTTGAAAAATAGCAAACTGTAGAAATATTGGTCAGACTTTTGCATGCACATAAATTATTTTCATAACCGTCTTTCGTTTCAAGAAGCTTTCTAAGTTTTGGTCTTTTAAACACATTTGCTTTGAATGTCCTTTTTATAAAAAAATATATTTTCTTTCAGTAATATTGGACCACATGTTTGCCCATAGAGTTGAACAGTTTCTTTCAAAAAAAAGGTCAGTTCCTGCACGATTTATTATAAAAGCCACCAGAGGGAGACAGAAACCCGCTGATTCCTGTTCCTGACAGTCAGTGGGTTTCCTCATGGCAGACCCTTAAATGCTCAGATTGAACTCATTTGGACTTAAATATAATGACATCATTCAGTTTGAGGTGCTGTTGTGGTTCCAGAGGATAACTTAGTTCCTCTGAGTTCAGATAAGCAGCGTCCTCAGCCCCAGTTACCATCAATATCTCCTTTCAAAGTTGTAAATGAGCCGACATGAATGAAATATTTAGGAATAAGAGAACAGAAACTAAGTCAGCTGGTAATATCAAAATGCCGAATATACACTAGGGCCAGTTGTTTACATGGGATGGTGGCAAGGCCCTGAGGGAGGTCTGTTCTGATTCTAACCGTGCTCAGCTAGAGCAAACAACGCTGCTGCCATTTGAAACATGCAGAGAAGAAACATTCCTCTGGAGATGCAGAGAAGCCTGGATCTGCGGCGGCTGGTCACCGAGACTGCCCGTGTGTTCACTTCTTCTCCATATCCATAGTTTAACAGAGGCCCTCATCATCACCAAAGACATTTGGGGACCTTTGAAGTAAAAGCATGACTGGAAGAGTCTCCATCCTCCATCCCTTCATCATTAACACTCTTCATTTTTGTTCTTCTTATATTGTAAGAAGAACAAAAAAGATTTTTTTGAGAGCCCAAAACTCTTTAAGAGAGAATCAGGAAGTGCTGCTCAGACAGGTTGGGGGCATAATCTGGGTTCTAATCCAAAAGATTTAATAGTTTTTGTCCTGATGTTTTCCTTCTTCTATCATTTATGGTTTTTTTTATTACAACAATTAATGTCAATAAATTAAATTCAGGCTTGATGTGAAACATCAACACAAGTAGAGCATATTTATGAGGTGAAAGAAAAAGGAAATTGTTTTTTATTCCCCCAAAGAAAATCTAAAAAGGGTGGCATGGATCTGTGTTCAGGCCATGAGGAGCCACCTTTACCCCCAGTCTGAGTTTTTATGATGTTTTTCACACTCACTGTGATCTGAAGGTGTATGGAGTGCCAAAATATATCATAACTTAATATGGATGTCCCACGCAATAAATGGACCATGAAATTGTTTAAATTAATTCATGTATTTAACTTATGTATTTATCTAATACATCATACTATTAAACTGTAAAATAAACAGTTAAATGATAAAAAATGCAATTAAAATGATAAATTAAAAAGAAATAAAATTTTCAAATATTAAATCTTTTAAAAAAATCATGGTTAAATGTTATCGTTTTTTGACCCAACTATTAGTTTAATAG